CGCGCTATAGGACGAAACGGAAATCAATAGTCGGACAGGAAGCTGCTTGAAGATACAACTGCCTATCCATCAGCGTGTTGGCTAACTAACCGTCTGTTTGGAAGTCTTATGGATTGTGTGCAGAAGTCATTAAGGTAGAATAGGTCGGCATGGGAGTATGGAAACGTGTGTCAATATCGTCCTTACTGTCAATATGTATCCAGCCAAACATTTTCCCAAAAGTGTAGAATTACAAGTACCTCACCCTCTGAACGACTTGCCGTTCTGCCTCTGTTGAAGCAGGCCTAGACTTTGGCACTCAGCGCAGCTCCCGTGAGGCGGGAGCCACAAGGCTCACAGCAGTCCAGCTGTTTGCTGAGGACTATCCAACCAATTCACGCTTTCGTGTTTTCTTGGTTGGAGCTTAATGGGTGGTTTCGGCTTTAGGAACTAGGCCACGTCGAATTCTTAGGAGTTTTCACCGTTTCGGCAGACATTGCATTTGGTATCTTCAGGATTAATTAATTTGTGAGATGTTTTGACAATATTTATCTATTTCTCACTCTATGGAGCTTATTGGAAGTAAGCCATGTTTGGATAAACAGACAGAGAGCACTAGTCCCTAATGGTTAGCATTTAGCTCCTTTGTCTGCCAGTCTGCTTGTAAGTGAACCTAACAAAATTAGTCACTGTCGTCAACTGTCGCAATCTTCCCGAAAAAACGATCTTCAGATAAGCTTCTTGAATCTTGTGTGTATATGCCGGTATAAATTTTTATTTCGGTACCGAGGTCGGTATAGTTAGCTTGCGGACTCAAACCACGGAGTTTCTTTCTACCGGATGATACAGTGACCGATCACAGTGGCCGAGCGGTCTGAGGCATGAACTGTTTTCGCTCGCTCGAAAGCTGAGATCGTGGATTCGACTCCCACTGAAGTCATGGATGTTTATCTGCGTTTATTCTGTGTTTGTGTTAAGTAGCGGTCTTGCGACGTGTAGATCCCTCATCAAAGGAGTCCTAACTACTGTGTATAGGATTAATAAACTGAACGAGTGGCCAAGGTACACCAAAAGGGCTGAAGAGCTATATATAGATAGATAGACGGATGGATGACTGAACGGATGGGCGAAGGGAATGACGGGACAGACAGACAGACAGGATGTTAAGAATGGATTATGCTAAAACACAACTGAAAGTAAAAGACAATTCGAGTTGGGCCTACAGTTGCAGGGTAATTTTTTCACTTTTGCGCATTTAATTGTAGCACAAGACTGTACGAGTCGTTTGAATATCAAAAGCTCATCACGTGTGCGACTACACCATCACACGGAGGAAACAGGACTTAGAGATGCGTTACAGTTTCTGAGCCCGTTCACTGTAAACACAAATGAATCCGGTGTAGGTGTGATACAATTCATTTTAATTTGTTGTACATCTATCATTCTGGTTTCTTTGAAACAACCATTTGGAAACTGATCCCTTTCTGTTTTGAGAATAGAGAAACATCGGCTGTGTCCGGTGACTGAAATGATTTGCCTCTGACCCTTCTGCTTAAGTTCTCCATATTCAGACTTGACTGTTAAGAGAAACAGATCTAGTTTCCGAAACGTTTTATCTTATGTAAATATAAGATAATCGATATTATCCGAAAATGAAAACATACTATTAAAATCGATTCACAGTTAATCAATCATTTATCCAAGATTCAGTTTCATGTTATCTTCACACGTAAGCGTCCTCTTGTTTACTACAATCTTTTTCACAAAATGGCTGCAGGGTCAGACACGTTATCTGTTCATCATAAGATAATATTTAATATTTTTGTACAAACATAACACGTTTAAATGCATTAATATTAGAAAACTTGTCACAACATCAAAATATTTCTTAAGATTACGCTTTTCTGGGATATGACGCCGTGTAATTTGGCAGGTAATTACAGAATCACATGACGTCATCTCCCAGGAGGTGACGCCTTACTACTCAGCACTGTGAGAATCCCAGCGCTGTGAAACAGTTGCAACGCGTAGGCCAATATAAAATATTAAGTGCTTGCGTAAGCATTGAATATTGATGAATCAACTGATATATATTTACGTAAATCACCGATGATGATGATTATGATAAATTTAATTCAATTTTATTTTTTAATTAACTAGCTGTGCCAAGAGCCAGTGGCCAATTGCAGAGTCAGCACCAATACGAACAACACACAACAGGAAAAGAAACAAACAAAAATAAAGTAATAATCGATCAAATAAAGTAGTTCATTTTTAAACCCGAGTTTCTAAAGATATCCGTAAATGTACAGACTGCATTAGCAGCGGAAACACATCGAGCTGAAGGGCAGTAGCTGGAGGGGCAACTGAACATAGTAAAGTTACGTATGCTCCGAGTAGGAACATGATTGCCGGCCGTTTCGGAATAATAATAATAATAATAATAATAATAATAATAAAGGCAAAAGGGTAAAGTTGTCCCTGTGCTTAACTAATTAAGTACTACGCTATGAAGGCATATATGTGAGTGCATGAATAGATCCACATTTTCTTGACCTCGCACTAGTTGTAGCTGAGTGGTCAGCTTCACGCCTCAGCCGCTTTACCCCCTGAGAGAGAGCCTCCGGTACCCTCTGTATAGGAGGCTGGGTGAACCCCAGAGAAGGTCTGTACGACGTTTAGAAGAGAAAATTCTTGACCCTACTGTGACTCGAACTCCGAACCCTCGATCGTCTAGCCAGAACCTAGTCGCTATCCCGGGTCCAATAATAATAATAAATTGCANAGGGGGGGGGGGGGGGAGTATGTAAGCGGCGGAATTGGAGGCTTCAATCCTGAGCGGAAATGCTTCCATTGTGGGCCCTGCTTGACCGCCTCTGTGGTCTAGTGGTCCGAATTCATGGCTACAGATCCAGAGGACTCGGGTTCAATTCCCGGCGCCACCAGATTTTCTGAGAAGTTGTGGGTCTGAAACGGGACCCACTCAGCCTCATGAGGATAACTGAGGAAATATTTCAAGGAAACAGCGACTGCGGTCTGGAAAATCGAGATTATCTGCCGTGGGGATCCGTTGCGTTGAACACGTGATACCCTCTATCAGCAAAAGTTAACACTAATTTCGGCTCGGTCGGTATAGTTCGCTTGCGGAATACAGACCATTCTCCGTGCAGAATAAAGACGCAAGCGTAATTCATCTGGCAGTAATTAACAGTAACTACATCATTGTATTGATTACACTGACACGCGGAGCGCAAAACGAATCAGCCCCCAGACGGCAATCACTGCACAACTCAGAAGTTTAAAAGTTTTATTTTTATGCTCAAGATGTTCGGTGAAGAGAATGCTTTCTCTATTGCTTCACTATTTTTTCGATATATCTTAGAATAATCATCGCAGTCTTGAAAAATTAATAGACCTAACATGATACAATCGAATGGCTGCTAAGGACGCCCAGACATTAAGAAGCACAAAGTTGTAACATTAATTGATACCGCGGCTAAAGGAAATAGTACTCCAACCGAAAGCATAGACACATAAGTTATGACCTCCAGTACAAACTTGGAAATTCAGTTTAAATAACGGTGATTCATTTGTAGAATTAATTCAATTTTCATTAACAAATAGTACCATCTGCTTATATAACACATGGGAGTATAATATACATACACTGAATTGTGCCCAAAATATGTTTCATGTGCAGAAATACATGCAGCAATTTATTTCATGATATGTGTAGAACTATCGTCGAATCGATGAACAAGAATTGTGCATGGATGATAAACAATGGAAAGAAGCTGATTATATATATTCATTGTCCAGGGCATTTACTTCAATTCAAGGAAAGATCTTGGTTGGATTTTAGAAAATTTTAAGATCTCCATATTCTTAATTTTCCATTAAGAACATCAACTTACGTGTGACATATTATGGAAACAGGTAAAAGTACTTCCACGCATTGTCACAACTAAATATTTAACAAAGGCATGTGACTTCCGTAAAGAACACAATTATCCTCTAAAATATATCCATGGATTCTCTTACACATGCAAAGAAACTCAATTACACAAGAACATGTACTCCGAAATAATATTACTGATTTATTGTTGAAAACATTGGACGTAACTCAGATACTTATTTGACACACTCCAATAAATAAATTGAGGAAAATTATCCAACTTTATAAAAGTATTCTCTCTAGTAAATGTACAACAAAATGTATTATGTATCAGTATTATTATCATCAAATATAATTTTAACTTTCTCAAATATATTTTCAGTCAACTTTCAACTAAACTCAATAATAATAACTTAGGAATATTTCCAGCAATTGAAGGGTTGACTGAAAGAATGTTGCATTTGACTTTCAAACATATAAAAAATCTAAATCCGGTAGGAAAATTTCAGCGCTCTGAAATAAGGATTTCAGATTCGAATCCACCTAAAATATTTGGAACAGGAAGAAAAATAATTTTAAATAGAGCACAATTATTTATGAAGGAAAAAATATACGCCCAAGGCACAGTTACTTGGGAAAATAAATATAGTAATCAAATTTTGTTCACTGGCCTTTCAAATCCACCCGATACTACTAAAGAAATATAATCGTAATTTAGGTTTTTATGAATTACAGTCCCGCCGTAGTCTCAGGGACCCTGCCCCTTTTCCTACAGCATAGCAAGTGCCAGCGCGGCCTAAAGAATGTAGCTGTCCTGCGAAATCATTTTACTCGTCATGCGCACCGCAGCAGAGTGCAGGCAGGAAGATCAAGGGACTGGAACATAACTCGCAGCAAGTGATACAACTAGCACCGTGACTGGCTAGCAAGTAACTATCGAGCGAGGCGAGTGGCGCTGAGCGCTGACATGAGAGATAAGCAAAAACCAGGCGGGACTGCAGAACCCTGTATCAGTCTAAGACGCCCTTCAATTCTTGAAACGTTAGTGCAATACAAACTGACCTCGCAGAATGGCCATATTTCTAATTAGATCTAGTAATAATGTATTGTGTTGATACAAACGTACAGTACTTACAAAGCCGTGCTTGTCCGAGATGTTGTTGGTAAGCTTTAGCTTGTGGAACGACACCACTTTCTGCATCCACTGTTCCCCCGTGGATGGGGAATCTGGGTGGATGTACATCCTTTTGGGCATTTCGGGGTCTGCTTTCCCAGCCACCATCCACCGACTGGACATACAAAACACCCAAAATGCTAATGGGTCAAGAGTCATACAGTCGCACAGCAGACCCTTAGCAACATTGACGTCGTTAAGCTACAAGAAATTGCAAAAATAAAAGATTTTTTTTTTTTGCGGTGAAGCGAAAATCAAATGAAACATGGCCGAACGAACCACCTCTCTTATACTGAAATACTTTTACTGTTCAAAGTACCAAATATCAGAGTTATTACAGAATGTAAACTGAACCAGGCAGGAAGTAGATTAGTGTGATGAAACGGCATTTCAGAAGCAAGTCTTATGGAATTATTTATGTAGGCCCATCTTTGTATGATGAGGAGGAGAAGGAACATTCCATTACTGAGCAAAATTATTATTTTGAGGTGTGGAAGTATAAAAAATATACATTGTAACGTTTGTGGACTGCACAAAATTACTTTCAGGTTAACAACAAATTGGCAAAAATGTTCCTAATTTGGAAAACTAAGGCTAATATAAAATAGATAACCACATTCTGGTTTATTTCCTTTAATGTTACGAATGCTGAAGAACCTAAATCATTCCAAAACTTAAACAGAATCTGCAAGGATTCATGCAATGAGCCATTACGAACTACGTCACCCTACTGGACAACAATTGTCTACGTCACTAGCACAAATAAATTTTTTAATTATGGTAAAATTTTTGTTATTGCGCAGAGACATATCTTTACTCGTAAAATGCATGACCAGAAAAAAAAAATAATATTCGTAATTCCCATCACGTATCTTCTATTCAACAGATATAATTCCAGAATAAATTTTATTATTTCAAAATGAAATCGGCGCTGTCTACTTCATTACACCAGCCAGCTCGAAGTGTGAACGTATATGCATGTTGTCCAGGTTACGGTGGCCAAGCTAGACCAGACAGACAAATATTCACACTGAAGATGGAGCGCATGCTGCTCACAGAGCTCGACTAACAAAAAGGCCCGACAAATTTATCTTTCCGATCCAAGTCATATATTTACAAGCTGCCATCTTTGTTTTTTCTATGTACAGGGGAAGAGTCTCCAATTGGTACACTTGTCTTTAGGCAACAGATGAATTTGTTTCACAATTGACGCGATAAAGAATTTGGAGCTCTGTAAGCTGATTGGTCGATCTGTGTACATAAACGACCAATAAGGTTAAAGAACTTTTTGAACGAGCTTACGTGCTGTGGTGGACAATTTTAAAACATCAAAATTCTGTCCATTTTTTTAAAACATACGTATTTTTCTTTTATCTGATAAATCATTACAAATTTCATATTTCAGAGGGAAAGTATTTTATGGTTTCAATTCTTTAACTTTTTTCTTTTCTGTTTTTGAGAATAATTTTTATTGCTTTTCTTTGTACCTGTTGTGGAATTTATATCTGCAGTCATCAGCTGCCACGATGTCCATAAGTAGGATGTATTTGGCCTTTTTATCAAGTCCTGTTACCCGAACTTTGTAGGCAGGGAACATGCGCCTGTGAAGAAATACAAACAGTGACTTTTATTTAGAGCAGTTGGTATACCTGTTGTGAAACTTGTATCTGTAGTCATCAGCTGCCACTATATCCAACAGCAGAATGTATTTCGCTTTCGAGTCCAAACCGCATACACGGAACTTCATTTGTGGGAACATTTGCCTGAAAAATAATTGAAAAACATGCAGAGGAAAAGAGATTATGGAACTTCATGTAGGTGAGTCGAACGTTTTCTTTTTTGTTTCACTACGAAACATTTCTTTCGTTCACATTTCTTGAGAAAACTTAGTTCAGAAGGATTCTAAAAAAATTAGTCTTATGTGCCTACATAAATTTTCTGAAAGTGATATCTGGTTACTACAGCTAACCTAACGAGCCATTATTTTAATCTATTTTTCTAACATGAAATGCACACAAAATTTGAGAATAAAAACGCGGAAAATTTAAGTAAAGAGGCGAATACTATTTAAATTAATCTGGGAGAAATGATGTGTGAAGCTGTGAACTCAATTAATCTAGTACAAAACTCGTCTTTGACGATCATGCATGTCAATGCAGTACAAATCTGGATTAATTTACACGAGCACAGAGTCCAGTGACGGTTTTCATGAATACGTTGATGAATCTTCGGGTTCCATAAACTAAGGGAATTTCTGGACCAGCTGAGTAAAAATAGACTTTTCAATATGAAATTGTATTTAGTGATGTACACTTCATCATTTGAAGTATGCCGTTTAAAAACAACTTCCTAATTCACTCCAATTTATGATCTATCGCCCACAACAAGTGGAAGATTTCTGTTAGTAAGGCAAGAAAGCATGTAGTCATTTCATTTCCCTTCCTGTGGGGAAGTTAAACTGTTGTAATCATGAAGCCGTATCATATATGCAATTGTATATTCTGTTATATTCTTGGAATATAAAGTAAGACTTCATTGGTACAAAGAATGTGTTGCAATTTGCTGTGTAAACGCCAGCACTACAGGACGAAGAGAGACGTGTGGACCTACACAATACTTGGCCACTTTATTTATATAAATGAAAGTGTATTACGAATCCTCGTTAATTACGTCTTTCACAGAGCTGTGGTAACGCAGTCAGTATAGCGGCGGGCTACTGGTTGAACGACCGAAGATTAGGAGTTTGAACCGCGGTGGGGTCAAGAATTTTCACTTCTCCATGTAGCCCAGACCGACTATGGGGTCCACCCAAGTTCCTATCCAATGCGTACCGGGGGCTCTTTCCCTAGGGGTAAAGCGACCGGGTAGTGAAACTGACCACTCACTTCTAATTGCTACCGAGGTCAATAAAACGTGGGTCTATACATCCATTACCCTATACGCCTATATGAACTAGTGCTTAATTAGTTAAGTACAGGGACAATTTTACCTTTCACATTTACAGGCAATATTCAAGATGCATTTGTAGTGCTAAAAGTTTGAAGAGTTTTATTTTATATTCTTGGACGTATTCATATTCAAGAATTGTCTGCTTATTTATAAGCACACTTAAGACAAATTAGGCTAACATATGAAACGTCTCAGTCCAGTGAGTGGACAGCATTGCTGCCTCTTGTGCGAGAAATTTCGACTTCGGATCCTGGCCCGCAGACCGACTATCATATTCTCGTGATTTCCCTCAGTCATTCAAGGCAAATGACGGAGTACTCCATTAAAATAGGCGAAGAACGCTTCTTGCAAATTCATTATTTTTTCTGTGTTTCGATATTAGAGGCGTATACTCTACTCTGCTCACAGCGTTATTCAATAAATCATACGTAAATAAATAAATAAATACAATGTTCACTTACGACTTAGTTGTAATGTAACATAAAAAACGCATTTGTCCTCTCCAGGTAATTCTCTACTTCGCCCCAATAAAAGTTCCTTTCGCGAACCTACAGAACACCCAGAAACAAGAAAAGACCACAGATCATATGGGATGTGGTTTCCAATGGGGCATTCATATGAAAATAGATAGGCACGAGGGAGGAAGGCAGTTTCCTTGAGGGAAAACGAGTTGCAAAGATCTAAATGGTAATTAAGCTTATAAATATTGTTTGTAAATTCAGGATGGAGAAATGAAATGTTAGCTTTTATGCATACTGTATTTATTCTTGGTTTATTTAAAGAAGTTCCACACGGCTCAAATTATAAGGCACTACCCAAACATAAAAATGTATACTTTTCTTTAAAAACAAAATATGTTATTTTAAGATTAGATTACTTCACGGACAGAATCCAAACATTTCAAACAACGGGAATTACATAAAGAAAAGTACAGAGAAACCATTACTTTGCTGTAATATTCCGAAAAAATATGTGGCTATTAAACATGTATAAGTACTTAACAACAGTACTTAGTAATGGACATTGTTTTAATAAAATATACAATAAAATATATGTATAAGTTTCGAATGTATTAGAACTTGTGAGAAACTTCACAAGGGGACTTGCATTAAATTTTAATATCCATCAGAAATATCCTTAAAGTTTACATTCCTCAAGGCAATATTTTCAGACCATTTTAAGCGCAGTAATTTTTTGTTACCCTGTTATTGATGTACCGACAATAAATAAATAATTTTTTCAAGATCCAGGGCCAAGGCAAAACATCAAATTAATAACTATTAAATATTGCTGAACCTGACAACAAGGTTGTGGCAATGAAACATTGGTCCTGCAAGGCTGTTCGAAAATTATTCTTCTCTTAGGGACTTTATGTTTATGTTTCACGTCAGATGATTCATGTTTAGACCTACGAATGACATGCAGATTGGTTGGAAGCACAGAGTCCTCTCACATAAGATGGAAAGAAGCAGCCTCAACGTAAAGTAATAATCACACGACTTTTTTTCAGAGATGAATATTTCTGAAAATGTTTTCTCTTGTAATATTATATTTGAGCATCCTGTTACACTCGCACAATATATATAAGACAAACACCGTCTTAAGTGTAACAATTTTACTGTAGTTCTTTCTTCTTTCCCCTCACTCCACACTACATGTTTCGGCCCTAAATGGCCATCATCAGGTGTGTATTCTTACGTAGCTGTTACACTGCCTGTTTTAATTTTAAAATTTGAAAAAGGAAAAGAACAGAAGTTTTATAGATACTTTAACTTGAATTAAATTTTTAAAAAAGGGCTAAATAGAAATCAAAATTAACGCGTGTAGGTTAACAAACAGTTTATACAATTAGAAAGACTGGTGATTTTAAATTTTAACAGGCAGTGTAACAGCTACGTAAGAATACACACCTGATGATGGCCATTTAGGGCCGAAACATGTAGTGTGGAGTGAGGGGAAAGAAGAAAGAACTACAATAAAATTGTTACACTTAAGACAGTGTTTATCTTATATATATTGTTTTCTCTTGTATTTATACTCGACCACATGTTGGATTAGGAGCTCAGGAAATAGAAACACGGCTTATTCCAGTGTTCACTCCTATACTCACACCTATCAACGAAACCAGAATTACTTCCTTCTGGCCATAATGCAACATTATTTCATATTCATATCACTTCTGTACATAATTAACAATCTATACAGTTCTAGATGAGATCAATAAAATCCCTTGAAAATTATTTCGTTTCAGTTCGTGGATTGTTACATGAGTGGTGATGCAGTATGAAATACTACTCGCCTTCTATCCAAATTTGTTTCGGATACGTCATCTCTTGACAAGGCGACCATACGGAAGAAAAGTCATGTGTCCAAATTCATTCATTCATCTGTAATCTGTGAAGACAATAGGTCCACAGTCTCTTCCAAAACAATTCCTCCACTTAATGCGATCTAGAGCTTTCTCCTTCAAATGACAGTATCCTCTTCTGTCCCCAAGGTCATCCAGCATCTTCTTACGTCTTCTTCCTCGTCTTCTGGTCACTTCTATCCACCCCTCTATCTTTCCTTCAAGAACTCCTTTTAGAAGGCAGTTACCGCGTAGGATATGACCAATCCAATTAGCCTTCCGTTTTCTTATTTCGTGTAGGATATTCCTCTGCTCACTGACTCTAATTAACACTTCTTCATTTCTCACATAATCGGTCCAACTGATCTTCTCCATCCTTCTCCAACACCACATTTCGAAGCTTTCCATGTGTTTCTGATCTACTGCCCCAAGTGTCCAAGTTTCAGCCCCGTACAAAGCAATGCTCCAAATGTAACACTTCACTATTTTATTTCTCAAATTTAAGTCCAATTTGCTGGTAAAAAGTGTCGATTTTTATTCCCATTTTATGTGGTAAACACAATGCATAACTTTCTAATGATGCCATAATTGTGTACGTCACAATGTGATGGCGGTCAACCCTCAGAGATACTTTACTCGCACACTGTGTTGCAGTCTATGCGCAGACGCTTGTTACTATGTCGTCATGTGTATCTCAGCAGCCTTCAGAGTCGGTAGTAGTTACTAGTAGGAATGTCAGATGGCAGCAATAAACAATTGCGAACTCTATGTTGGAGTCTGTATTGAAGCGTCCACAAATGCCTTCGAGAAACATACACTTTCCCGGTCAGGTAAGTTAAAAGTGTCCCTGCGCTTAACTAATTAAGCACTACTTCATGAAGGAGTATGGGGCAATAGATGTATACATCCACATTTTCTTAACCTCAGCAATAGATGGAGGTGAGTGGTCAGCTTCACGCCCCTGCCGCTTTACCCACGAGGAAAGAGCCCCCGGTACCCATTAGATAGGGTGAGCCCAAGAACCGGTCTGGAGGATTTGGAGAAGAGAAAATTCGTGACCCTACTGGGACTCGAACTCCGACCCCTCGGTCGTTCAGTCCGTAGCTAATTTCTATACGAATGCGCTCTCCCGTCTATTTCACCTTCCTGGATCTTTCAGTTTCATAACTTGCATTTTCAGTTAAGTCATGATATTGGAGTATTCCTTATGGGCTACAATCAGGAACTGGTGGAGGTAAAATACGTAGAACCCGGCTCAATTACAAATATGGAACCCCCACCCCACATAATACAACAAATTATATA